GAGGAAGGTCAGAACACGACGTGCAACATGTGACCTTGAATTATCTTGTTGGGAGATGGCGTTTGGCAGGCCTCGAGCATAGGGCGCAACCACTGGATGTAAGGCGTCAGAAATGTAGCGATCTGCTTTCAAATTACCGTCGATCCGAACTAGTATACCGAATGGCTGCCCAAACTATCACACCAGGTGCAGGGCCCCTATGCCGATATTGAATGCAAGCAGGCGACGTGTGGTCACCTCAAACACTTTAGACACATATACGGCCATCAGAATACAGCACGTAGAGCCGGGACTTGTTTAAAAAGAGGATATTGTGCCACTCCTGTACCCAGCTTTGTCGTTTGGAGCATCAGTGTAGTCGTCTCTTTCTATGCTGCATTGTTAAGACGAAGCCGAAGTAATGGTCACCCTGCTGATAATCCACGCTGCTGCAAACGTCGACGCACCTTACCGAGCGGATACTGGGATTGCTGCAAATATACCCATTTCCTGACTAATGGTCCATTTTGTGGTTGTACGGTTTTGCAGGGCTGACTTCACAATATGTCTGTCCTCTCGGGCGTTATTCATAAGAGGGCGTTGAGATTTTGCATGCCGTTCAGTATAACCCTCAGCAACCCATATTCGCATGACAGTGATTGGATGTCGACCAGTGCGACGGGCGATATCACGGAACTATAATCCACACTCTCGGTAGGCAACGATCCTGCCTCTATCGAATTCCGACAATTTTGCTGGTAAGCATTTCTTCTTATTATTCGAGGCATAACACAATATTTTGAACAAACCCTGACCTTCCAAAGCGCTTTTCGAATGAGAAATCCACTACACAGCTTTTCTTTTCTGCAGTGCTTCAGATGTCATTTCTCTCTCCTACCTCGTTTAAATGCGCTGAAATACTAATCATTTGCATATCCTAACCTCTTCTTCCTTTCACGTGAGTTTGACGTTCTTCAAATTATTCCTTCCTGGTGTTGCAATTTTAATGGTCAGCAGTGTACATTTAATAAAGTATGAAACACATTTTATCTTTTAACGATCTGCATTCGTAAGAAAAAAAATAACAAGAGATACAGTGTAAATTGTTGGAACATTTGGTGCTGGTGTTCCTCATTTCCCATGCATGATCAAACTGCACATTAATTTAGAGTTGGGGGAAAAAGTCAAATATAGGTATACAAAAAGAATACTTCACAAATTAGATGAAAGATAGGAACATAATGAACTTCACTGATAAAAACGGCAAATCATGTAAAGGGCTAATAAAAGATGCCTTCGTGGAGGATATTCTAAGGCAACTTGCTCTTTTCTACACATGGGCTTCTTTAGTGTCTTTGAAGTAATTGTTTGGAAATATGGTTGCTTTGTATTCATCTAACAGCCAATGATCTTGTTTCTCAATTTTTATTACATACCATGCGAATGTCTGGGAGAAGCCATGTTTCTCTCCAGCTAGGGAATTTAAGTGGTATTTTACCAGTAAAAAAATCTTTATTGCATTTTCAATGAAATTTCATTGAGTTTAAAGTCTTATTTCAGTTAGACTAGAAACTAGAATAAGAGTCTAGAATAAGACGTGTTCTTATTTCAGTTCAACGAATTTCGGTTTCTAGTCTAAATAAGGAAATGTTCCACTTTTTTGGTCATTTTCAAGCCATTTTATTTCTATAGAAATTTGATCCTTTACCAATTAGGTAACATTTTGCTTATTTTGGCTTTTGAATACATTTTGTATCTTGCATATCTTCATTATAGTGACACAACAAAATAGAGGGCAAATGTTTTCTGAAAATACCGCATGTTTCATTTTGAAAAGTTTCCGTGACTACCGTCAGGTTTGATGTTCCTTTTCCAGCACCGCAGCTAAGCATAAAATCTTAAAATTTTCATTTCCCCGGAATTTATTTGGAATAACTGCAATATAATTATGTTTTTAATAAAAGAATTTTTTTGGGTGGGTCATTTTTTATCGATAACTTTTTTGGCACTTACAATATGTTATCCCTTTTTTACACTCTTATCGCGGGTAATCATCAAATTTCCACCTATTTTCTTGTGATTTTTTTTAAACCCTTGCCTTCGAAGGACTCCAGTAAAAATTTTACTAAATTGTTGCACTGGTTGATTTAATAATTTTTTTAGGTGTTTGAAAGATTCAACTATAAGGGAAAAAAAATTAGTACACTGCTGTGCTTGATTAAATTTCTCTGACACTTAAGCATTCGTAGATAGGTAAGGAAGATTTTATCCTACTTCATATGGTACTTGAATCTTTTGTCTAAGTTGTTATCAGGATTACTGATTTTCATTATAATATATTTTAAGAAAAATGTTACATTAATTTCATAAGAAACATATCTAGAAAAATATCATTATCTTCATAAGAAACATGAACTTTAATTTAAATTACTATGAAAATAAGAATCATTGCTTTGTAAACTGTTTCTATCTGACACAAAAATTACTTCTTCATCATATTCAAAACGAACAATTGACCACATATAACCACTATATCGTACTGATGGACCAAGTTTATATTTTAATTTATTTTATTACATATCAAGCAAATATTTGAAAAATAGTTATGTTTTCCTCTATCTGGTCAATTTCAAGAGCGATTTTGACTAACAGACTGCACAGTCTTTACTGCAACTTTAGCAAAATTTTAAAAGCTGAATTGAGTGCTTCACTACCAGTTTGGTAGTTTCTGATTACTTTCTTCTAAAAAGAAAACATTATTCATAACTTAGTACAAAAAATAATTTATACATATACTATACTTTTTTTGATTAATTTTCAAAATATTTCCTTTTTTGCGAAATTTTATTCGCAGTCCAACACCAAAATATTACTAATTTTCACTTTTTCAATGCGGTTCGGGCATGACAAATATTCATTATAGAAAATTACATTTGTTTACACCTTGACAGCACAGGTGACCAGGAGTTATGTTCTAATTTTTAATTACATAATTTACAAATATTTTTTTTTTTTTTTTAAATTCTTGCTCTTTTTCTTTTGTTTGCTCAGTTTCAGGCAATATTTTGCTACTCAAGAGGCTCCTTTACTGTGTTTTTTTTTTTTTATGTACGAGTAAAATCTTAAAGGTTGAACTGAATGTTTCATTTTTAATTTGGAAGTTTCCAGCCATTATCTACTCAAAAGGAACTTTTCGTAAATTATTATCAAAATAAAGTAACATGCATTTTGTTGTATTCTTGTTTAATTATCAAACTGCTGTTTAACTATGATATTTTATTCCTAGTCAAATACTGAAGTTATTACTAACTTTTCGCTTTTCAAATGCATTTTGTAGCTCTTTGTTCATCAAATACCCATCAGTGAATTCCCTTTACATATTCTTTTTATTTTCAGCTTGTGATGTCTTAAAAATGCGCAAAAAATATATTTATAGATCGTTTATATTGGTTACTGAAATAGATTTCTTGAGTGATTGGGAGAATAAGTATTTATTTTGTTCACGAGTATGAAACTGATGTTTTCTTCAAATTTAATTATTCAGAGTATTGATCAATTTACGACAAAATGCTGGTTTTGTTATCATTAGTTAACATTCATATGAACTCCAGCATTTTAAATCTTTCACTCGACTGTAATTTTTCCCACCAGTAATTAGAAAACGAGTAGAGCAAATGCAAGATATATAGGATATGAAGTAAAAACTTTGAATTAAAAGGAAGTTATTCCGAACTAAGAAATGAGGTTATTCACATGGATATGTAAATATTTAAATCATTCGGAATAACTTAGCATATAACACATGAATTTAGAAGTGGGAAAATAGTGAAGGAACAGCTACTCTGCTATATCTGGAGAGGAGTAATATAAAATTTATTATATTACAATTCTCCATGAAAAGTGCTCTTCTGAAACTCTAAGTGGGCATTTGATCTTGGCTTTTACGTAGAATTTACAATTCTACTAAGACTTTTATAAGAACTAAGGTCAGGTTCTCACTTAGTTTCAAGGAGTTTAAAAACGTTTATTTACTGATAAATGCAAAATCATAACTCTATAACAGGCCTCAGTAAAGCATTCATGTAAAAACCAAAACGAACTCCGCCAGATCATTCTGCAAAAATACTGTTTAACTAATTAAACGTTAGCATGACATTCTATTTAAATATTCTTCTACAAAATTTCTTGGTCTAACTAGAATTTTATTAAATTGTTGTTACGCAGCTGGCAATGGGGAAAATTTTCAGAGTAGCTAATTTCACACAACTTCTTCCTTTTATGCTTGAGACTCCAATAACTTAGCAAACCTTGTAGAGACATTAGGATTTTTTTGAAGGCAGGCAAGATGAAAAATGAGCAACGCCCCAGCGCGCCCAGCGTGCAGACCACCACACCACGAAGGCATGCCAAGAAGGCGGGGAGAAATACCTTATATCCACCCCCTTTTAAGGGCGTTTGAGGTTTTTAGGGCACCCAATCGTCAAATCCTAGGTGGGAAGAATCATCATCCACCATCCTTTTAGTTCGGGTGCCACTGTAGAGACAGGTATTTTTTGGAAGCAAGAGAGATTGAAAAATGAGCAACGCCTTCGCCGGGAGTCGAACCGCGGACCTCTCAAATTCGCGCTGAGCGTACAGACCACTACACCACGAAGGCACGCTAAGAAGGCGGGAGAAATACCTTATAACCTAAGAGAGTAAATACTTCCATTACTGAAAACAAAACATCAATAAGCAAACAAAGCTGAAATCTTACATAGGTTATTTAAATTAGCATGCATTCATCGTCGATTAAATGGAAAATGATAGTACTGATAATGATCTGCATGCAACTTTCTTTAGTTTTATCATTCCTTGAAGATACTTAAATAATTTACTCCTTCTGTGCATATATATATATATATATATATATACATATATGTACTTTTCCAGAGAAACAATATTTTAATAAAAATATATGTACATGCAGAATTTGCTAATAAATTTTATAAACATTAATTTCTCTTTATTTTTATTTACAGACTGCATAATCTTGGTAACCGAGAGCTCCACAAGATAGGAAGATTTCACTCACGAATCCCATCTCATGCTACTGCATGCAGACCATGATATAACTGTGTTCTAAAAAATAATCGAATGTCTGTAAATATCCATACGCAAGCCTTCCGTTTTAGTGATCACGAATTTCGGTTTGGTTTTCCTCTTTACCAGATCTTTTTTTTTTTTTTTTTTTTGCTTCTCCTGCCACTTTTATGGGCGAGTGTACTGGAACGAGAATTAGGAATAACTTACTGGCGTGGTGTTTCCGTCCATTAGCATCTGGAATAGAGGCACGTTTGGTGCACGTGACTCAGCTATTTGTGCACGTGACCGTAAGCCCCACCTGCGTACTCAAGTGAAGTGCGCGGCATATTACGCAGCTGATGATGGCGGAAGCCACATTTATCACCTTTTGAGACCGAGTTGGGACAACTCGAAGCAAAAACTGTTCACTGTAAAGGGCAAAATAGGCCCAAAAGAAATAAAATAGGAAAAAATATGTTATGTAAGAGATTATTTTTGGATTCAATTTTATTACCTCTCACAAGTACGTTATCCATGTAAGTACGTGTTTGGCTCATTACTTTAATTGCATTTTGGCAACAATTCTAGAATTGTCACAAATCATCAAACCAGCTATTATTTCAGTTTCAAAAAGCACAGCCAAAATCATTTGATTGATAGAAAGCTATTAGCTACATTTGTTTGCAGATTTGTTTACGTCTTTGAAATATTTGGAACAGAATGACGTTTCCAAAAAACATGAATAGAAATCATATTTGAAAAAAGAAGGTATACAAGTAGGATATTTGGAAAGAAGGTAAGTTTATGCAACCATTGAACCTAAATGAAAATAAATTGATGCAGAATCAGTAAGATTTTGGAAGATTTGTTGTAAGTGAGACATTATCATTGTAACCAAAGCTTAACATGTAGAGCCTTTATTACGAATAAAAATGTAAAAGGTATCTATAATAGTTTGTTAATTCATTATGCCGTGCAGCGCAGCGACTCTTTGAAGCATAATATTTGCACTTACTATAATATGCTTGTTTCCATACGTCTACCAAATTCCTAACCGATTTTAATACAGATTTCATGCCACAGTAAATCATATTTCGAATTTCATTAAATGGAATTCGTTCTTCGAGTAGAATTAAATACGTCTTTCATGATGGTTTGAAATGTACTATTTGTTTAATGGTTATTTCTACAGATTCGCATTACGTTTCGTTAACGAGTATTGGGACATGAAATTTTATAGTTTTGACTGGTCGCAGTTTTAGTAAAAACTTAACAAATGAAAAGTATTCATGAATAAACTAACGTTAGCTATAACAATGTTATTTATTTAAAAGATTATTAATATTACAATATTTAATAAGACATCTTCATTTTCACTTCACTGTATCGCAGATCTTCCTCGCTGCTATTGCTCACTGCTACAGCCTAGGCTTCAAATCATTTAATGTTGCTGGAACTGCTGTTTGTATTGCTTGCTATAGCTTGCAAGTCACGTCATCGTCTTTATTGTAATCATTTTTGTTACCGCTCAGTCTGTCTTTCTCCTGCAATAATCTTTAAAATCATCAAAAGTATTTGAGATCTCCATTTTCCTGAAGTCCATCGCTATTATAGCTTCATCAATCAGAGCCTGTGCACCCAAAATCCCCGAGTAAATCAAATAGTAAGACGGAAACGGCCACTACGTGGACGAATCCATTTTAAAAGAACTCGCTTTGAGGAAAGGAAAAATTGCATGGATATTAAAAAAATTCAGAGCCTTGAGCTAAAACATTGAGCATTGCCTCACATTGAGGTATAAATGAGCATAAGTGCTATTTCGGAAGAAAAATATTGCATAAAAACTGGGTACATAAAGGGTATTTGTCGAATGGGTATCTTGAATGTTGTTGATAGGAATAACGAACACCCGAGTTGATTGTTCGCGAGATCTTCTCTTTGTAATAAACGCTGATGGGAATTTTTTTTTAACTGCTAATGACTATGTCTGAGACGTGAATTCTTCTTATGACCCAGAAATACAACAGCAGCATATGAATGAGAGAGCTCGCAACAGATTTCCCCGACATTAATAATTCAAAACACAGAAGTCTGCCGCAAAGATTTCGGCCACGACTTTTGAGACGAAAAGGGGCCATTGTTCATTGGCCCGTGATAACACGATAACATATATTTATTTTGCCAATTTACTGACCAGATTCTGACAAGCCACAAAAGAAAAATGCTGCTTTTGCATTAAGAATTCCCAGACAGCCATACAACACGGCCCATTTCATCTTATTCCCCATCCACTTATTCACCAGCCTTAGCCCCAATAGATTCTTTTCCCGCTTTGTTCACTTCAAAAGTGAGCAGCATTTGTGTGATTCATGTTCTACTGACGACTATAACATTAACAGGAATGTTTTCAAAGCTTCTACGAAACACCTTTTGGCCGAAATCCCACGACTAAATCATAAAAATGCTAGGCGACATAAACTGCTAAACTGCGACATAAACTAAGAAGGTCATTTTAAATTAGGGAGGTATGCTACTTTGACACTTATCTTGTACATACATCTTAAGAGGAGTAAGGCCAAATTAACCTTGTAGAGACTAAAACCTTAAAAAAATCATTTCTCAATTTTTATTTAAAAAATTAACTTGAACAAGATTATAAAAATACATAACATGTTTACGCTATTGTATCAAACGCTAGTAAATTAAGATAAAAGATGTAAATTAAAATGATCAAGCAATTTTTTTTAAAAAGACAATTTTCAAGAGGCAGTTTCTTTTAAATAACTTTTAGTTGAGACTAATACGTATTTTCCCTAATTATTACGCTCTGTTTATGTCAGCGTTATTGTGCATAAAAATTTCTTTTCAGAATTATATCTGTTAGCAGCAAAAATACTTTTCAAAGATCTGAATTCTAAGTAGCTTTTACTGCAGCATAAATGGACAGCCAGGTTTGTTGGTGCAAAATCGTTGAAATTTAGAAAAGGTATATAGTTATGTATGTTAAAGAAGCTATTTTTTATCGAACTGAAGAACTGAAAATTTCAAAGTTTAATATAAACGTATAAAAGTATAGTCATCACAGCATGATTACTCTAATTTAAAATATTAAAAATGTGGTTGAGAGAGCGATTTTTTTCGCGTTTTTTTTTCAATGTTTCAGCACATATTTATAAATTCCTGTTCATCAAACAAATCTTAAACCTTGTTTTATCATGTTACTTACCCAAACGTATCGAGTGAACGCAATTAAATTTTTCATCAGAAAAAGAAATGAATTATTGATTTTGTTTAAAAGAATGGTATACTTTTAAAAATTCGAACTTTTTTAATTAAATTTTTTTTCCAAATTTTTAGGAATTAATTAAACTTTTTCCCAAATTTTTTAGTAATTAATTAAAAATTTCTAAATTTTTTAGCTCTATATTTTAGAATAAAAATAGGTTCATTTAAATTTCTGAGTAAATTCATAATTCCATTCAATAAAAATTCGATATAATTCTATGAAAACAAAAACAACAAAAAAAAAAAAAAAACTGTGCTATGTCTCCCTGAGCGGGATCATATATTTCAAGTCTATCGTTTCATGGACCTTTCTAGATTTCTTCCCCGAAATAATATAATATTAATAATGTGAGTTTCTTTAAATAAAATAGCAATGAGTTTTACTAAAAAAAAAATATTCCAGTTATTAACAACTAAATTTTTAAGTTTTTCTCTGTTGAAAAGGTGTCACTTTGCTTACAACGTGAATGTCTCTTGTATAATCTAGATAATAACACCTCTTTTCTTTTGTTCGATCATTGATAACTCAAAGCATTGTAGTGCTCGTCATAAATCAAATAATTAGGTAATAATAATAATAATAAGAAGAAGAAAAGCGCAATAAAGACTTAAAAAGGAAAGTTTTTTCGTCTTTTTTTTTTTTTTTTTCTAATAACAAAACACTTAGTTTTTAAATGGCATTTTGAAAATCTCTAGATTATGCATGGATGAAATTCGTGTTCAAAGAGTATTAACTGAAAATCATTTAGATCATGTGCTAAATGCCATTTGTATTAATACAAAATTACAAACACAAAGAGCTAACTATTTCTAAACTTTTAGTTGCTACCAGCAGTAGAACTTGAAAGCTCCCAGATACAAGCGCTGAGTTTTCTATTGCTGGTTACGCACCTGATCTGCTCAAGATTTAACTTTCCTCATTTACTTTCCTCCTTTCTATTCGTGAAATTACTGCCTTTCCCCCTCTTTCTTCTTACCCTCCTCTTTTTTTATGTTAATAAAATTACCAATGTCTGTTTCACTTCAAAGTTTATAAATATGCGGAATTTCGGTTATTACGAACGAAAAGGGAGGAATGGATGTGAAATAACGTTATCACTCTTTGTGTGAGACCGGAACTCTCAATAATAGGGAGAACAGAATTGTTCGGAGTAGGGGAGATGTTATCTAGAAAGGGTAAATTAAACTATCACAACTCTGAGAAGTGATGATTTGATTTCGATTTCCAAATATAATGTATATTTCAACACTAAGCATAAATAATAGATGGTCCTTGGAATGCAGCTTATTTACACCCCTTTGTAACTTTTAAAAGTACCGCCCACACTGTATAGTGGGTTGGGGAACCTGATTGGAGTATCGAATTACGGATATTTTGAGGAAAAAAAAAAACAACTTTTAAAAGTTGTTGATTCTGGACAAGGAGCATAAAAATCTGACTAGTAGATGCATTAAACACAGAGAAAGATTTTTATGAGTTACATCGAAAGAAATTTTCAAGGTTTGCAGCTTACGATATTACGCGGATGGTACTGGAATGAGAATATTCTAATAGTTTCTTTCCAGAAAGTCCTCACTCCGCAAAATATATTTTTCTTTCTTTAGTACTTTTAAATTTATTGAGAAAATACAAGCAACGAAAAAAATTATTGTTGGTTATATTTGTGTTATCTGAGAAATAATGTAAAAAGGAAATGAATTATAAAATTTTGATAGCAGTCACAATTAAAAAATTAAGTTTTGCTCTTATCCCCAGAGATGAAAAAGAATCGATATTTAAAAAAAAAAAAAAAAAAAAAAAAATAGCGATACATTTTTCACTACATAACAGCGCTCAGACTCCAGTCTCTCTTTGAAGCTGTCATGGAATAAAGAAGTGGCGAATGAATAAAATAACTAAACGTAGGGAGATTTTCTTTTAAACTGACACTACTCAGATCCATCTCTAGCTCGATCTATCAGTTGGAATTCTACCGAATTTGGTAGGGGGACTAATGACGACATGGGAAAACCAATTCCAGGAATAAAAAAAAATTAATTCCAAAAGTTGTCGAAGGGGAAAAACATGGCGATGGCTCTAGTCTACACAACTGAAAATTTACACGAAATGTAGGCAAAATTTTAAAATGCAAATAGCAGTTACGTAAATGATAGCAGCGTCATTAATTCAGTTTCTCACTTTACCTTAGACCACTTTAATTGCCAAATTGTTTTATTTTCATACATCGAACGCAACGGCAAATCTTTGTAAGTTTAGAAATGACAGAAGTCCACGGAAAGACCTTCTATCAATTAATGCATTGAAAGACATTAAAAAATTTGAAGAAACAGTATCTTTAGCAATTCGGTTTGGTACAAGGTGGAAGCCGGTACCAGGACAGACAGTTACTTATGTCGCGACTGCAATCGCTTAAAGCATCCTGCGGGACCACATCTGGTAGTAGCAATGCCAGGGCACCAGTGAGATAACTGAATTTGAATCTTTCTGTATAGCAGATCTTCGGAAAGTTC